GAGTCCTTTATAATGCATGAGAGTGATATATTCTTCAATTGTGGGCACCACGTCTTCTGGATTGAATGTGACACATAGTCGCCTTGTAGACTGTCCTTTGCATTTTCATCTCTTGTATTACAACCCCTTTATCCATTAATGCAAATTATTTAGGTTTAACAAACACGTTTTTATGGATCCACACCTCTTGCATTATGTTATGACAATGCAAATGCAATGCAAAGAATAATGAAAAAAATGACACAAACAAAAGAGGGGAAATAAGTTAGTGTACGCAAAAAAAAAAAGTGAAATTGGTTAGTACATGTAAAACAATCGGTATAGATAAAAATGTCATTCAAAGATGAATATAACACCTACCCAGTCATGATATCTACTCGAGAATACTTTTATTAGATATTAATCTTACCCAAACATGCTTTATACCCACAAAGATGTATTTACAAGAAATTAATCCTAACTGGATGGTATCTAGTTCACATGCTGTCATTCAACAAAATTTAAAGCAAAAGAAAAGGTTCTAAAACGCTCCTCCTTTGTGTACACTTATTATGGGTACCTACTGACGGACATAGGTTCACTACATGTATGGTTTTGGCTCTATGAGGAAAAGGTACTAGAATTGTCCTTGATGTCGGTGCCCCCTTAGGCTGTCAAACCCTCGATCCTTGCCCATTACAGGTTTCAAGTGGAATGAGTTCAATTCGAGAGGATACATTCCCTTATGTCTATGCGGATAATAAATTCACACGAAGACATAAGGTATATGAATCCCAAAGGTTACTTGTTAGGCTTGTGCGGAGAATAAATTCTCACGAAGGTGTCGCTTTCGCCCCTACTTAAAAAGGGTTCAGAGCTCGGGTATAAAGCTTATGTTATGCAAATGCCCGTGATATGTGTAAGGTGAAACTTTTAACCCTTTGACTCAAAAGGAAAACGAAACCACTCTGATAAAAACTTGGACAGATCTGAAAACAAAAATCAAAAAGTTAGTATAACAAAAAATGAAGCAGTTACAAACTTCAATAAAATGATCATAAGTTAACTAAATACTCGAACTCATAATTTCCACCAAACGACAATGTGTAAGCGACTTACAGTCTGACTCTCAAAAAGGTCCCCAGTAGAGTCGCCAAGTTGTCATAACCGTTTTTAGGGTGAGACAATTAAATATTGTTTTTAAAAACAGTTACGACTTTTAATTTTGGAAAATGGGCGATTTTGAATTAATTTGGAATAAATTGGATAGAGTTGCCATCAACCTTTGGGTTAGGTAGGTCGAATACCTAAAAATGTATTTTAAAAACAATTTTAAGAAAAATCATTTTTTAAGACAAAAGATGATCTGCGTTTACCAAAGATTTGATTAAAACGGGTTCGGGAGTCGGTTACGCGTGGGGAATGATTAGCACCCATAGCGCCCAAAACTAGTACTGTGTCGCTTGCACGTTGTCGTAATGGTGGAAATCCTGAATCAAATATCAAGTTAAAATATGATCCATTTATTAAATATTAATAACTTGCTTCAAATTAATTAATTAAAGAAACTATTTTACTTGAATAATAGATCTAGCAAAAACATGAACTTAAAGGATTAAAAATGGTAAGATAAAAAACTTAATAGACTAAAACAGTTAAAACAGAAATTTAAAGGACATAAATAGTAAAAACTGAAACTTAAGTGACTAAAATAAAATAACAGAAATTAAAGTGTCAAAATCATGAAAACATATATATTCATATGATGGAATGAAAAACACACATTAAAGTTCAGAGATTAAACAGAAATTATACCAAAAATTCATAACATTCATCATAAATGATTCACCGGCCACCGCCGCCACCGCTGACCGCCATCGTGTCGCCGCGCCACTACCTCACCGGTGGCCGATGATTATCAAATTTCACCAGGAAGTTCGTCTTGGCCTCCTCATCTTAGATCTAGAATTGGTTTTGCGTGAATCAACTCCGTTCGTCGTAAAAAGGCCAAAAATCGTTTAGATTTATTTTCTCTAATCTGTCGTCGTCCACCGTCCGATCATCTTGAATTTTCAGTATGTTTTTCGTGCTGATATCGCGCAAATTTTGACCGTTCGGAATGTTGATTAGAGATCCCGATCGCCGGCGAGAATCCAACATATTGCAAGAAGTGTTGTTTTCTATTTTTTTCTTTTCTTCTCCCCGTATGGCTTCCTCACGTTTTGCTCCCTGATCTTTTTTGCATCCCCTCCCTTTTGGCTTCCCTCCTCCCTCTTGTATATAACATATTACCTATATATCATAAGAAAATAATTATTACGAGTGGAGAAATAAAATATGGAATGGTGGAGTTAGTGAAAAAATTAGTGGTTTTTATTTAATCTTTACTGTTGATTGTATGGGTGGAGATGTAGTGGTAGGTTTTAAATAATAAAGTAATAATAATAATAATAATAGTAATATAGTATAATAATAATAATAATAATAATAATATTTTTTTCGACCCGAATAAAAATGGGTGTCTACACTTCTCTTTCTCTCCTACTTCCCCTCTATCCTCTTATGGTTTATGTTCTCTCAATTTTAAATTACGCGATACTGGAAAAATGAAACCAAATAAATAAAATAAAGGCAAAAAGGGTACCTGAGCCCTCTAAATTTTAAAAAATAAATTTTTTTAAATTGAAGGGTCTGAGCGAAAAAAATGAAAAAATACATTAATTTTTATTAGAAAAGTGGAAGCCCTCATATACTTTTTTTTTACTAAAAATAAAATATTTTAGAGAAATGAAAGTAGTCTCCGCTGGGTTTGACCTCTTTAGTTTTATATCTGATTTATTATAGTTATTATTATTAAATGGATTTTCGCTTTCGAATTTTTAGGGAACTATATTTTTCTCTTTGATTTGTTGCGCGTGTCGATAATTATTGGTTTGTTTGGCGTCGAGGAGTTTTACCTTTTTAGGATAAATTATATACTTACCCATTAAATTTTATTTTCTCTCTTAATTTATTTATTATATTTTTAATTTTTTCTAATTCACTCACTAAATTTTAGACATTAAATATTTTTTTTATCAATCCACCCTTTATTTTAAACTCTCTGATGAAGTGGAAATTTTTATTAAATTTTTACAGTTACATATGCATTAATTAATATTTTATTATCATTAGTTTTTATTAATATTTTTCACTCTTATCTTCATTATTCTCATTTCTCTAAAACGGGGAAGTGAAGCTTTGGTGAGAGCAACAACCGACAAAGCTCTTTTCGACTACCCACTCTCCGATCTCCTCCGTTCATTGTTGGATTGGTCCCGAATGGAAGTATGTTAGTCCACTCTTCACCGTCTGGATCTAGAAGGCAACCCTCCAAATGTTGGTGAATATCTCTCTCCAAACATGGGTGTTGGAGAGCTCCATCCATGGTGAAAATAGATTCAAACAACTGATCATTTTAACAAGAGATTCGAACTCGAACTGAGATAGGTTGATCTCGAAAGAGCTCCATGCATGGTGGGATTTGGATGAAGGGTGTCATCATCAAGAATCTGGGCATTTTCCCTCCACTATTCAAGATGATTAAAATGGTGGGTTGTTTTCTTGTATATTTCACTTAATTCATAGTGGGTTGTTTTCCTTTTTTTTAGCTTCTTATATGATACATGGGTAACTTAAGATTTCAGAGATAACATTTATCGATCATCAAACCCATTGTTATTTCATTATCGAATTTTAGCAGGGAAGTTGTCCTCCTCATCTATCGTGTTTTACGAGTTTTTGAAACTATTATCGACATTTAAATCAAGAAAATGAATTTCAAATAGCAACTCCATTTGAGGCTGAGGTTGCTTTGGTTAAGGAAAATAATGATATTGGAGGTTATTTGGGTAGAAGTAACATGCCAGTGCGTATGGGTGTAATGATTTGGGTGAGGGGGGGTTAATGTTAAGATGATGAAGATAACCCCTTTAATCTATGATTTATCCCTTTTTTACCCCTTTTTCTTCTCTTCGTTTGGCTAACGATGGTCAAAATAGCAGTCGACGATGGTCAGAATGATGATGGGCGAGGTGGTAAAAATCTGGGTTCATTCAAGTTGAGGAAAGAAATTAAGAGAAAATGGAACGAAAAGGAAGAAGAAAAAAGAAAGAAAGAAAGAAAGAAGAGGAGAAAATGAAGGGGAAAGAAAAAAACCTTTTTTCTTACATATATTTTAACATTAAAATATTATTTAATTATGACACGTCATAATGTCGTTACAAAATTAACGACCGAGTGATAAAAAAAATTTAATGGCCAAAATTACAAAATTAACGATCGAGTTATAAAAAAAGTTTAATGGTCAAAATTCAGTGAGTAAATTGAAAAAATAAAAATACGGTAAATAAAATAAGAGATTAAAATTCAATAAGTAATCATGTAATTTACCCTACATTTTATCGTTACCTCGTACCTTAAATATGGTAAAAAAAATTGTGCATAAATTATCAGAATAGTCACTTAGTTTTTATCTTTATACACTTTTGATCATAAAAATTTTTAAAAAAAAAACTAGATCATTTATGCTATCTTTTTTATAAAGTTTTGGTCATAGAGACTTTCGTAATAACATTAATTTATGATCATTTCATCTAACTTTCCTCACACGCCCATAAGTTATTTTTATTAATCTAAGTTGAATATAAAATAGTATTTGTTTAAATATTTTTTTACCATCTAACATTAAATATTTACACTCTAAATATTTATGAAACTTGAATCTAAAACTTCAAAGAACAATAAAAATTCATTTATTATTAAGATAGCTTTGTTCGTGCTATCGTCTATAAGTTATTTATCTTTCTTGAGGTCTATGAATCTGAGTTTTAAGGCCCGTCCACAGGTTGCTCATCTTTTCCTTATGTATTCCACTTGACTTCAAACGGGCTTGAAAAGAAGTTAAAACCAGATTTCATTTGGGCCCGACCCACTGACAGCTATAGTTATTATTCCACGAAACTAAAGCGTATGTTGTTTCACTGAATCACCCTCTCCGCCTCTCCAAAGCTGCCTTATCTGAGACACATCAGTAAGTTCCCTTTCTTCTTTCTTTTTTTTCTTCGAAAGTGTTATTTTGTTCTTCATGTTTTGCATTTTCAACTATATTTGTAGATTCAAATGAAAATTAATTAAACTTTGCATTCAATTTAGGGCTAATTATTAAGTATTTTAAATGAATTTGGAGTTATGTTTTACAAGAAAGTTTGCAAATTATGCTTCAACACCTATTTAATAGGGTACTTTAAATTTTTTTCATTGGTTCGGTTTCCCCCTTTTATTCGAAATTATTTTCAAATATTATTATATGAATGATCCGGAAGGGGATATCTAGCAATCAATATAATTCACATTAACTGATTATTTTTCTGTAATTTTCATTAATTATTGAACAATTGGGTTTTTTTCTCTTTTTGCAAAGACTTCAATCTGGGGATAGGGTTAGAACTTTTTTAATTACCACCTTGTTAAACCGAGTTCTGAATCGTGTAAGTTTCTGCTGTAACTTATAACCCGAATCGTGTTGGTTGGCTTGCTTAGTTCTTGTTCGTCATGGGAAGTTGCGAACAATTTAAGGGGACTGGCCATGCTAATGATCAAACCATGGATGAGGCTAGGACTATTAATCCCAGAGCTCAATGGAATCAAATGGGGTACGAAGGGAAGACTGCGGCGGTTCATGAAGAAATGAAAAGGATGAACAGTCTTCCTGCGACCAGTTCTTATGTTACACATCGCAGGCGTGTTCTTAATAAAATTCTTCAACTGTTGTCCATTCAGGTAATCAAGATCTGGTGGCTTGATTGGTTTTAGTATTGATACCCTAAAAATCTAAAGTTGAGTTGAAAAAATGCATTTTGTAAAAGAGGGGTTTCATGCTTTATTGCATTTTTTGTATATGCTAGAGAACTGCTTCACAAGAAGAGGAGTTGGAGTTACTCTTTGCTGGGTTGTCTCTATGAATGGTTTGTCATCTCAAATGGTAAGCTTTTGAACTCAAACTCGTCTACAACAATCAGGATGGTTTTTATTCTTTATGTTTTAAGATGATTAGTGCAAGCTTACGTAGAATTCGAGGTGGGATTCTATTAAGCTCTGGGTTAATCTGCATACGGTACTTCTCAATTCTCATTACATCTTATCACGCATTGCCTCGCAACATATTTGCAAGCCACCGTTTAATTCACATAGGGTAATACTTATTACATAGTGCATCATAACTTGTTCAAAAGTTATCGATTCATCCGCATAGGGTAATGCGTATTAAATATTATAGTGCACCTTAACTTAACCTGCATCCTAACTTGTAAGCTACCTATTAATACTGCCAATAGATCGGCGAATCATAGCAAAGTAGTTCTCATGCCAATGGAAGTTGTATGCATTTTTCTGCGGATATCTCTCTCTGAAATTGTTAATATTGCAGGTTGATTAACATCATGTCAAAGCGTTAAACAAGGATCTGTTGGGTGAAAACCTCTATCTGAATGTCTTGCACTATGTAAAAAGTATCTCATAGTCTAATGTCTAATGCATTGCAGATATGTCTTGTAAACTATCTGATCACATGCTTTTCAGTATGTTTAGTAGGAGAAAGGCTGCATTATCCTTTTTTGACAATAATGCATATGGTACGAACTAAAGAATGGGATATCTCAATTACTTCAGAATTCGTATACAATGTTGAGTAGGGAAGATTATAGGCTCTTCTATAAATGGGATTTTTTCTTTAAGCTGGACATGGGCTTGGGTTAAGAAAAAGGATTAACCTTGCAATGACAACGGCATTTAAAAATATAGGTGAGTATTCAATCGAGTCGAGTGGAAAAAATCTAATTCTTCGAGTTTACGAGTATAATTTAGCATTCGAATTTTATTTGAATTTTTTCGAGTTGAGTTTATATAGCATATTTATAATGTTATTTTTTCAAAGAATGGATGTTGAGGGCAAAATATTGATGGGAGGACAGAGTTTGCAAAGAGTTATAGTTGGAGGATCAAATTAAATAAATGTAAATTTGAGGTGGTCTATGTTGATGCACTGCAAAAGGTGAACCATCACTTGTCTGATCCCCAAACCCGATCCAGAATCTCCAGGGTAGCTACTGATGCCAAGAATGCCATCATTGAGGGCCTTAAATCCATCCCTTGTAATCAACATAAATACACGCTTACATATGATCCTTTAAGAACTTTTCAAATGCAAGGAATCTTGATGAATAATTGGACGTATGTGTGTCGAATGTAAACTTATGTCCTAAACTCACACCGAAGTTTGAGTAATATTGTCCTGCACAATGTGTATTTTAGCATTTTACTAAGTTTGCAGATGCATATCCAACATATAAAATTGTGTCAAAGTCCAACAGCGATGATAATAAGAAGGTAAAAAGTGAGAACGAGTCCAAGAAACATAATGAAGAGTTGAAGACATTGCAAGCCACAGTAAGCAAACTGGAGAAATAAGTCAATGTTTCGCGAGAGCATGCAGCGGAACAAGCTGTAAAGATGAAGCCGCGAACCACGATTGAAGCTTCTGTGAAACCAGAAAGCAAGAATCAAGTCCATTCGATGAAGGAACTCATCCGTAGCCATTTCTAGAGGTTGAAACGATGGTAGAATGTCAAGCGTGATCCACGCATCTTTGTTTAAATTACAAGACATGTTTTTTGCTGTATGAACTGAGTCATGGATGACAAATTTTGTGGATGTACTAACGTCTTTTCCCCCAAGGGTTGGCATAAGAAAAAAAATCAGTTTCACTTTCAAGTACGATCCACACATGTTTGCTGAGAAAAACAAAGTTTTATTCTAAGTTGTATAAGATGTTTGTTCTACTAGTTGTTTTCTATGTTTCCTTCATTGAGTTAGCTCAGATGAAATCCCAAACTAGCTAGATGACACCTCTTACATGAAGATATTGGGATAAAAATAAATAAATAAATAAACATACCCGTATCCGAAACAACCGAATCCAAGTATCATTATCATTGCTCCTTTGGTTTCTCTAATTGCAATTCTTTTCCTTTTTTCATGAATCTTGCATCTGATACTTTGCCTCAATGAATTTTATTTTGCTTCATTATTAACTTTTCTTGCAAAACAAGCAAAACTTTTAGCAGGAATCATCATAAATATCTACCCTTCTCCTCTCTTTCATAGTTGCAGTTTATCATCTTCTCTATTTTTTCCTGGTGTTCTTCTCTACTGACAATCTAACACAGTAGCCAAAAGTAACAGGTAATTGCCATTCTTCTATACTATTGTTTGAAAATTTATTCTTTTGTTATATCTTATAGATCAATCCGTACTCTATTTTATTCTATTTTTTTTTCTCTACTTTGTTCTGATTTAATCTTTCTTGAAGTATTCGTGTATGATGTATATTAAGACATGAATATGAAGATATGACCTTTTTTAAGTACATGAAAAAAAAATCTCAGAGAAAAACCATAAGAAAGAAATGAACATACTTGCATCCGACACTTAGAAGAATCTAGGTAACATAGTATGGTACACTGCAGAAACATGGATACAGGCAGACATAAAAATGCAACTCTTTCAAATTGTTTTAAATACTTTTTCCAGATCTGTTCAACTTAGAATCATGTTCTTAACTTTGAATATTTCAAATAACAACTAAAGATTAGATGTGCTTTCTATTCAATTCAGGTTTTCATCAGATACAAGCCGATGGCTTCTACGTCCAACTTAGTTATTGGAACTGCAAAGTTTATATTTGCCCCCATTGAGAGATGCTTGAACTTCAACAGAGATTTAAATGAAAATATGAAGATTCTGAAAAAACTTTTTAAAGAGTTGAATGCTGTTAAGGAAGATACTGAACTGAGAATAGTGTGGACATTCATGGTGGGACAAAGCAGACAGAAGAAGTGAAAATCTGGTTGGATGGCGTTCAGAGGATCAAAACGGAAACTGAAATCATCGAACAAAACGCTGGAGAAAATAAGTTCCTTTTGCGGGTGCTCCTCGGAAAGCCCGTTCAGGAAAAGGTCGTGAAACTCAAGTCATTTCTCAGGAAAGGCAAATAATTTCTTGGCACGGTGAAGTCTTTCAAGTACATAATTATTGGTGGCAGAGTGTCAGCAGGATATGCAGCTAGGGAGTTCGATAAGCAAGGCCTTAAGCTTGGGCAGTTGGCGATTATTTCGACAGAGGCTGTGGCACCTTATGAACGTCCTGCATTAAGCAAGGCGTATCTAAATCTGAATCCAAAGGCAGCTGCAAGACTGCCTGGATTCTATGTCTGTGTTGGAAGTGGAGGTGACAGATTACTTCCTGATTGGTATAAAGAAAAGGGAATCCAATTGATACTCGGAAATGAAATTGTTACAGTAAATCTTGGTTTGAAGACTCTCATAAGTGCTGCTGGAGAAATCTTTAAGTTTCAGACATTGATAATTGCAACAGGTTCCACTGTTATAAGATTGACAGATTTCAAGGTAGAAGGAGCTGATGCCAAGAACATCTTCTATCTGAGAGAACTAGAAGATGCCGATAAGCTTGTCGAAACGATTAAAACGAAGAATAATGGAAAGGTTGTGATTGTCGGAGGAGGGTACATTGGTCTTGAAGTCGCAGCATCTATGAGAATCAACGATTTCTCTGTCACGATGGTTTACCCTGAGCCTTGGTGCATGCCTAGGCTTTTCACCCCTACAATAGCTGCATTCTATGAAAGTTATTATGAAAATAAAGGGATCAAAATCATCAAAGGAACAGTTGCAGTTGGCTTCAATGCTAATGCAAATGGAGAAGTTAAGGGAGTGGCTCAAGGATGGCAGGGTGATCGAAGCCGACATTATTGTCGTAGGTGTCGGAGCAAGACCCTTGACAAAATTATTCAAAGGACAGCTTGAAGAAGAGGAAGGCGGGATTAAAACCGATGGATTCTTCAAAACAAGCATGCCTGTTGTATACGCAGTCGGAGATGTAGCCACTTTCCCGTTAAAACTATAGAACGAAACAAGTAGAGTTGAACATGTCGACCATGCCCGAAAATCGGCCGAACAAGCTGTGAAGGCTATTAAGGCAAATGAAACAGGTCAAGAACTTGAAGAGTATGATTATCTTCCATCCTTTTACTCTCCGTCCTAACTTTCATGGCAGTTCTATGGAGACAATGTTGGTGAAACCGTGTTTTTTGGAGACAACAATCCATTATCGCCGAAGCCGAAGTTTGGATCTTACTGGATCAAAGATGGAATGGTTGTTGGAGCTTTCCTTGAAGGTGGGACTCCTGAAGAAAACAAGGCTCTTGCTAAAATTTCAAGACTCAAATGTCCAGTTGAAAACTTGGATCAACTTCAAAAAGAAGGGCTTTTATTTGCCAGCAAGTTTTAAAATGTTTATGATTTGTTTTTAATGGGACAAAATTCAAAGGTTGTCATTGTAGTTTGATCTATATGCAGTTCATGGCTTGCATTTGCATTTGCTTGTTTAATATTTGTGTTATGGATTGACTGCAATTTTTCCAAAGGTTGGTTTCAATTCAACTTCTTTCTTTGTGTGTATATAATCCAATAGCACATATAATCCGATAGGATCACCACAAATTCATGATCATGAACACAAAAATTAACAATATGCCTTGAATACACATTGCATCGATAAGCCATTCCGATGTCGTGGAAAAAGTGCAAAAATCAAGGTGTCCAGTGATTTGAATAATATAGATATGTGAAGAAACATATGTATTGGCCCCAAATATGAAAACATCAATCTATACAACATACAGGATACAACATATCTAAGTTTTATTGTGGCGTCTGATTCTGGGAATACAATGACGTTCGATCATTACCGAAAACCACCATACCTACATAATGAACCAATGGATCCCTGAATTTGCAACCAATTTGGCAAAGGAATAATTTACGACATTTGAAATGTCAACAAAGAATAACCTACCTATTTCGATTTATGTACCTGCACCAGAGAGGACATTAAATTCCTTCCACTCATGGAGCATTACCATGCATCAGGATCAGTCTTGAGTACACAAAAATTCAAAGGCACTGATAGCTAATTTAGACTGTATTTAGCAACGGAGCAGATATATGATGCCTGCCCCCCCCCCCCACCTCTTCTTGCATTGGATATGCTAGTAACCAAGGTGTTATACGTGATTCCAGCAGCATTAGCTCCCACAAGCTTCGATCCAATATTATTTATCAGATAAACCAATTTGCTTTCTTCTTCTCCAGTTACCATCTGTAGCTCATGTGCTTGTTCACGAGATAACGTCGTGTACAGGTGCAATGGTTGATTTGATAATGGGTCACCGCTTTTTTTCCAGCACCTTTCTCATATCATCTTTGCAATTATCAGAAGTAATTCTCAAGAGTCCCAATGATTTAGGTTCTTCTGTTAACGAATTGAACACAAATGAGAACTTCCCATATACTAGATCAGGTCATTTGAATAGACTGACCAAATGATCACTGTTTGGTCCAAAATTACGCTGCGCAAACCTCCTAAAGTAGTTTTGGTGACCTCTTGTAGCATGGAGAATACGTGCAGCTTCCGTTAACCCACTCAAATAGGCGCCATGCATGGTGGCCGGATATTGCCGTGTTGTGGCTTCACCAGCAAAAAACAACCTATTGCCTATACTTTCTGCAAGAATATCATAATCCCTGCC